TTGAACCGCCAGCCGTCTGGTTAGCAGGCAAGTGTCTTAGCCACTATGCTACCAGAGCTCCCTGAGGCACTATAGGATTAAATAATTTTGAGTTTCTTGCCCTGGAGTCTTAAGACCAAGCACCTGTGTCAGGTCTATTTGGCCAGGGGGCCCAGTCTCCCGTGGCACTGCCAGTCTAGGCTCCTCAAGTGTGCTGGGTGGATTGGGCATAATGGAATAGAGCCATCCAGACCAGAGAATGGGTTTAGGCCTGCGGGTAAGGCAGGGCTAGTTGAGTCATCCCCCATGTGTGGGTGGGGCTCCCCCTCTCTGAGTCACAGTAAATGCCTACTAGGGCTGTCCCCATGACTACAGGTTAGTTTCTCCCAGCACCCTCTGCCAACCACGATTAGAAAAAATAAAATTAAGACCAAAAGGGGGGTGATTACCCTAAGGATAAGTTAGGGTAAGTTCAACTGTATAAGGCTGATCTCACCCTTAATCCAAAAAAACAATTTTATTAAGAAGTGAAGACCCAGTTCCTTTGCACCTCTCCCCAACCCCCTCAAAAGGATAGGGTTGGGGGAGGGAAAAACCTGGGGCTGAAATGTCCCCAAACCCCCAACACAGGAAACTGGAGGGAGAGGGGGTGTGCAAATAGGTCACTGGAGAGGGTGGGGGTGGGAAGGGAGAGTCTTAGACCAGGATGGCAGCTGAAGAGGAAGGAGGTGAGGACAAGGCATCTGTCGCATCCGTTGAGGGCCCAGGAAAAACGCAGGGGGCTGGGGCCAGGGAACCAAAAGAGGTGGGAAGAGTGGGGCTTGACCCCAGGAGGGGGGTCCGTTCTGAGGCAGGGTGGTCTCTTGGCTCCCCTTCCTCATCACCCTCTTGCCCCTGAGTTTCTTCTTCCTGATCCTCCTCGCCAGGACCCCGATGGACAGGCTGCTTGCAGATGGGGCAGGTCTTCCGGGTCTGAGTGAGCCAGGGGTCCACGCAGCGGCTATGGTAGGCTGTGGAAAGGAATGAGGTGAGACACTAATGCCTGCTGGGGGTGGGTAGGAACATGGGCACAGGTGGCAAGGGCCTCACCGTGAGCACAAGGGAGTACCCTCAGCTTGTCCCCATCCTCATACTCATCCAGGCAGATGGCACAGACATCATACTCGTCTCCTGGGGGAGGGAGAGAAGGGTGGCCTCATTCACTGAGCATTCCAGGGCCTAAGACAATTCATACAGGAGGCCTACTGTGGAGCCAAGTCCTACAAAGTTTCCCCATCTACAAAGCCAGTATAAGAGCTAAGATGGGTAGGGTAAGGCCAGGACAGACACAGATGACAGCACAAGCCAAGAGAGGTAAGAAGGGAAGTGGTTAATTTTTTGGGGGGGGGGTAGAGGGTGGAGAGACAAAGTAGGAGGAGTAGAAATAGGGGCAGGGCCTCTGTTCTAGCCTTATATGGGCACCAGAGGATCTAGGGCCTAAAAACCCAGCCCCTCCTTACCTGTTCCTTCCTAGGCTGAAACCTCTTCACTTCTCCTCCCTATTTTTCTCTTCTATCTTCTCCCTAATAAGCCAAGTCTGTCCCTCCATCTTTTCCTCCAAGTATTAATTATTTTTGTTTTCTTTCCTATCCTCCTGTCTTCTCTCGTATTTGCGGGTAAAAAAAGAAAAGGTGGCATCTCAAGAGCTCACAGATACCTCTCTGCCATCTTACTTTACTTTTTATCTCGGGGCGCAAACATTTTCAGAACCAGGTAAGCTGCAGGAAAGGCCCTCTTCCTCCCAACTTCACTCACCCTTCTGGTAGTCATGTGTAGGAATCTGTTTCAGCTGCTCTTTGGTCAGTCGGTTCCGCTGGAGCCGTTTCCGGTGCTGGATACAACGAACTATCTAGGGAGTGGATGGACCAGGCTTATGGAACAACACTGGACAATCTAGCACACACCAACCATGTCACCTCCCAACTCCAGATCCAGGCTGGCCTTACAGTCCCCAGCTGCACTTAATCATACTCTGAGCTACTCACCATTACTGCTCCCATAGCCAAAACCAGCAGTCCCACAATTCCTGTGAAAGGGATGAGATAATAGCCCAAGGGGAAGCTATTGTCTGGGACTAGCAGGACCCGAGCCCTGGGGAAAAGACGACCAGTGTCAGAGGGGCAAAAAAGACTATAGGATAAAGGAGGACAAAGTAACTGGCTCTGGACAAGGCCCATGGGTGGGGATGAAGGTGGGAAGAAAGTCAAGGCAATGTAGTGAGAGCCTGAGGCTCAATGGTTAGGACAGTAAAGCTTAGGATCTGGGTTGGCAGGGAATTGCCAAAGACAGGCTGGGAAGGGAGGCACAAGTCCTACCCCTTCTCATAGACGAAGAGGGCACGCAGGTACTCAGAACTCCTCTCCCCAATAAACACAGACGGGATCCAGATCTGCTGTTGGATTTCTTCTGTAGGGATCAGGGTGTTATGCCGAGATCAGCTTCTTTTCCCTAAGCCTTCAGCCCTCCCACCATCCCTCAGTCTGAATGAAAACCCAGCTGACAGACATCCCAGCCTTACCACTATTCCACACCATGTTCAGAAGTTCATTGGAATTCACATTGTGGACCACAGCTGCCCCATACCCAGCCTTCTGAGCATTTAAGACCTATTGACAAGGCAGGGGATAAGAAGCCATTATGGGCTTTGCCTCCCTTCATTCCTGGTGACTTTTTTTTTTTTACCCTCGGCTTCCCAGCTCCCACTCCACATTCAGCAACCTTGAGGTCAAAGTTGCAGTTGAATCTTCGAAGCAGTGCAATAAAGACTGACCCATTGACCGGGGCTGGGGGTGGTGGGGCAATAGGGCTGCAGGCATTAGCTGGGTGAGCCTCCACAAGGAACCCCTGGAGGAGAGAAGCAAATAATAGTTGGAGGTCTGTTCCCTAGGTTCTATGCCCACAGGGCCCCCAAACACACTGGTTCTCACATGCTGTACATCTTCTACACCTACTTCCCTTGTCATTCCTGGGTCTGGGCATCCCAGCCCAATCAGAAGTCTAATCTCTTACCCTCTTGAGTTTGCAATTACAGCAAACAGCCTTTATTTACCACATCCTCCCAGCATCTTGCTCCTTGTCCCAGATGGCCTAACCAGCATCCCATACTCCAAGTGAATCCATGTTTCTGGGTTCCTGTTTCCCACTGATTATAATTCTACCTCTCCATGTCACTTTCCCTCAAGTTCTGCTTCACATTCCCTTCTCCAATAAACACTGTTCCAGAACACACACCTTACTCCCATTTCTCCCAACCCATCTCACAACTGTATTACTTATGACCAACTGAATTCTTGCCATTGACATTTTCATTAAGGAAGTACTACAAAATTGTTTATCTAACTTCACCCTCACAACCTGAAATGATTTATATTAGTTCACTTGAGGAGGCCTGGTAGCACAGTGGTTAAAGCGCTGGGCTGTGAATCCAACAACCTCCCCCCCCCCCGAAAAAGATAGCACAGTCTACTTCTGTAAAGATTTACAGCCTTCAAAACCCTATGGGGCAGTTCTACAATAACCCATAAAGTCACTATTGAGTTGGAATTTACTCCAGGGCACTGTTTTTTTTTTTATCCCCCTTTACAGTAAAACTAAGGTTCTGAAAGATAATTAACTTGTCCAAGGCCAGACCAGCAATAACTGGCTCCACAGACTCTACTGATAAGGACCACATTGCTGTCCCTTTTATCTTAGTCCATTTTCAGGCTCCCTCACAGGGCTGGGAGTTCGGGTGAGCACTTTGGTCTTCTCACTCGCTTTCTGAATTCCACACTTGACGTGCTCATACACTTAGTTCCCAACTTGAATCTTTTCCCATCTCCAGCTTCACCTACGGCAAGGTTCCTCCACGCTTGCCCAAGATAAGACTTGGAGAAATAAGAAAAGGGAAGAAAATCACCTGGAGTCCCTCCTGGCTCAGGGTAGCCCCAAAAAGAGCTGGGAGGTCTGCAAAGTCCATGCTGGTGTTGTGGTCCGAGGTCTGCGGACAAAAGAGTCCATGTTCTCCTTCTGCTTGCAACCCCTCCCTTCAGCGCCCTTCCCCCATCCGCCCTCAGACTCACCGCTCTAATGAGCCCTCGGATGGGGGCCGCTCCCCACAGCACAGTGGCCACAACCACAGGAAGCGGGAAGGCCGCAGGGTGCATGGCAGCAGGAGATAAGCTGAGGAGCGGCGTCCTGGGTAGCAGGAGCAGAAGCGGAGTTCTGCGTCCTCCTCGCCTCCTTCAGGATCCCAGGGGTCCCACTACCCCCAGGTTCCACTTCCTAGCTACATGGGGGCGCCAGAGAAGGGACCTCAACCCGTTTTGGAGAGTTGGAAGAAAAACACTAAATGTACCCTTTCCTAGTTAGGGGGATAAAATGAGGAGAGGAGACGGAAGCTAGCACCGGTGACAAAAACTTCGGGGAGGGTGGGGGGAGCTCCAGGAGGTGGGACTTCCGGCCAGGTGGGCCGTCTTCCTAGTCCCTGGAAAAGGGTTTCCGGTAAAGAAAGGCAGCCGCTTCAAGCACTGGATGCGCAAGATGAAGGACTTCCAATCCTAAAAGGCCGGTTAAGAGAAAAGTCAGAAGTGAAGGCAACGCCTGTGGAGATACAAGGAGCACCGATGCCCCATACAACGACCTGTTCGTTTACCCTGTACTCTCTAGGATCCGGGAGCTATTCTATTTACAAACCTCTCCTCCCTCTGGCTTTCTCCGCCGCAGAGGTCTTTCAAGTGTCGCGAGAATGCTCACCACATTTCTCACACACACCCCCTCCCGCCGCGCCCAAGTTGAAGGCTTCCTGTATCTATCGCGAGAGACCGCCTAACTTTGGCTGGCCTAACTCACTCGCTCTCGCGAGACTTTCAAACAAATTCTCTTATTTCCCGCGATTCTAATTCGGTAAAAACGGCGCCCCCACGCTGGCTTCCCAGTATGCCACACCTCTTTCCACACCCATCCTTCAAGCTCCTCCTTCAAACTCCACCTAATTCCCGGCCTCCTTTGCGCTGCGCGCCTGCGCCAACTTGCAGCTAGCGGGTGGCAGACCTGTGAGCCGGAGGGGCGTGCGCGCGCGTCCTGGCCCCTGTTGCGCGCGCGGTGTCACCTTGGGCGCGAGCGGGGCCGCGCGCGCACGGGACCGGGAACCAAGGGTGCATTGAGTGGTGATGGCGGCGGCGGCGGCGAGTCCCGGGGCCGGCGGGATGGACGGGAAGCCCCGTACCTCCCCTAAGTCCGTCAAGTTCCTGTTCGGGGGCCTGGCCGGGTAAGCTCAGGCCCCAAGGATGGGAAAAGAGGAGGAACGAACGGGTGCAAAACTGGGCCTTGTTCATCCTTGAGTCTATTACAATGAGCCGAGCCAGCACCGGGTCAGCACGCTCCCCAGCGTAGTGGAAGGCTCGTGATGAGCTGCCTGGACTTCTTCACCCATTACAGGGCCCTTCTCTGTGCTGCATGCATGGTCTTTACACGATCTCTGCTGGGCCACATGAGTTTCTTAGTCCGTTGCTTGACTTCACCAGGCTATATGGGATCCCAGGTCGCTACATGGTTGCAGCCGGACTACGTGAAGTCCCAATCATGCATGCCCCCTTGCCCGCGTCCCCGAATGCACTCCCCGGTCACTGCTTGACCCCCACGGAGCTGCATGGAGCCTTTTCATTGCATGGCCCCTTTGGAACACTGGATTTTTCAGACACAAATTTACGCACATGCTTACCAACCACCTGGACCCTTAGTGAGTCTCATGGCAGATCCTGCCCTTCATGACCCCTTTGTTGCCAGGCTCCGGTGGGCATTGGTAGATCCTGACTTTTGATTCCACTTGAGGAGTCAAAGTGAAACCTGACCTTTGACTCCACTCCTATTTTCCCCCAGGATGGGAGCTACAGTTTTTGTGCAGCCTCTGGACCTGGTGAAGAACCGGATGCAGCTGAGCGGGGAAGGGGCCAAGACTCGGGAGTACAAAACCAGCTTCCATGCCCTCACCAGCATCCTGAGAGCAGAAGGACTGAGGGGCATTTACACTGGGTACTAGGGCCACAGGATGGGGCGTGGGGCTGGAGTTGGCAGCGCCACACCTTGGCCTGATGCACTGACCTCTCACCCCCCCAGGCTGTCAGCTGGCTTGCTGCGCCAGGCCACCTATACCACCACTCGCCTTGGCATCTACACCGTGCTTTTTGAGCGTCTGACCGGGGCGGATGGTACACCCCCTGGGTTTCTGCTGAAAGCTGTGATTGGCATGACCGCAGGTGCAACTGGTGCCTTTGTGGGAACACCAGCCGAGGTAGCTCTCATCCGCATGACTGCTGATGGCCGGTGAGTTTTAGGCCTGAGCCTGCCCCCAGGCTCGTTCTGTGGAATCTAGAAGAAAAGGACCACTTTCTCCTGCCTGGTGTAGAGCAGAGCGTTCCCTTGTTCTGATCGCCTTTCTTTGTTCCTGTGGGATAGGGTGGGCCATCCTAAGTTTGGGCTCCTCCTGCCTTCCTACCAGGCTTCCACCTGACCAGCGCCGTGGCTACAAAAACGTGTTTAATGCTCTGATTCGAATCACCCGGGAAGAGGGGGTCCTCACATTGTGGAGGGTGAGTGGACTGGAGGGCCTGGAGACTTGAGGGAATGGAGTCTGATCGCAGGCGTTTCTGACTCTTCCTCCGCTTTCCCCCACCTCAGGGCTGCATCCCTACCATGGCCCGGGCTGTTGTGGTCAACGCTGCCCAGCTCGCGTCCTATTCCCAATCCAAGCAGTTCTTGCTGGACTCAGGTGAGACCCAGAGCTGGGCCCTTAGCTCCCAGCCTGTCTGGGCCAGCTCCAAGCTGACTACGTGCCACTTCCTGCTCCACTCCCTCAGGGTACTTCTCTGACAATATCCTGTGTCACTTCTGTGCCAGTATGATCAGCGGCCTGGTCACCACCGCTGCCTCCATGCCCGTGGACATTGTCAAGACCCGGTGAGTGTGTAGGCCTGGGCTTGAAGGGGATGAGAGGGCCCCCTTTATGTGTCTCATATCCCCATCTTTTTACTCCCAGGATCCAAAACATGCGAATGATCGATGGGAAACCAGAATATAAGAACGGACTGGTGAGGAAGCAGGGCCAGGGCCGTGGGCTGGAGGGTTGGATACCCTGGGGAGGGATGCACGGGTAACTGAGGGAAAGCAGGACAGGGCCGTAGAGGCCAGGTCCTGGTCCCAATGTCCTGCCTGCCTGTCTGTCTAGGACGTGCTGGTGAAGGTCATCCGCTACGAGGGTTTCTTCAGCCTGTGGAAGGGTTTCACTCCGTACTATGCCCGTCTGGGCCCCCACACCGTCCTCACCTTCATCTTCTTGGAGCAGATGAACAAAGCTTACAAGCGGCTCTTCCTCAGTGGCTGAGGCGGGTGGAGGGTCAACGTTCGCTTAGTCGGTGTGCCGCGGGGGGCCTGGACTCTGCTGCCCTGGGCCCCTCTATTTATTTCCCTTCCACGTTGTGTGGTCTCCTCCTTTGCCATAAAGGATTTTGGTCTGTTCCGCCCCTGCTCCAGTCTGCCCTGGTTGTCCTGATCCTCACGATCTTTCTGAGGATGCCTAGCCTCCTTTTGGGTGTTAGTTTCCAGACACACAGGACAGCAGAAGGCCCCCCTTCTTAGTGGAGACGTGGAGGTCTGTCTGAGTGGAGAGCAGAAGCTACTCACAGTGGTAAAAGCGGCTGCGGTGGGAGGACATGGCACTCCCTCCTTCCATCTCATTGAGGGCTTGATCAATAAATCTAATCGATGACACCACCCCCAAATCTAGAGCGTTGTGGGAGCCAGCAAGGGGAGGAGACTGGACAGGGAAGCTGGTGTCTCTGGAGAACAGGAATTAGAGTTTTTCAGAAAAATTACTAAAGGAAAACAGTTAGTATTATGCAAATGCTGTGTGAATCAGCCAGGTCATAGATGATGTAAAGAAACCTAAAAGTCTAGGCTCTATACGTTGCTTTCTGGCTTCTTAGCCAACAATGTGATAGATGAGCTCAAGTCATTTCATATAGCCCTTGTAAAAGTCTCTAGGGTCTGGTACCTGCTTCTGCAGCCTAAAAAACCAAACTCACTGCCATCAAGTTGATTTGACTCATGGCGACCCCTCCTTGGGTTTCTGAAGCAGTATTTCTACAGATGGAGGTTACCCAATTTTCCTTCCGAGGAGTGGGTGGTGGGTTTGAACTGCCCGCTTTCTGGTTATCAGTCAAATGCTTAGGCACTTCGCCACCAGAGATCTTCTGCAGCCTAGTGGGGGAGAAAGTAAAGAGAGGGGAACAGACCTTTGAGGGTTGGAGCCAGTGGGGGCTGAGAGCTTAGGGTGAGCACAGGAACCAGGCCTCCAAAGCTGGGAGGCTTGAGGAAAGGGAGGAGGATGGCTGGAGACTTGATCTGGTTCCCTTCCTAGGTAGTGAGTAGCTTGGCTGTTTGTTTAGGAGATGTATGGTTTACAGGCCCTGCCCTCAAGGAGCCTAAAAACCTCTTGGAGCATGAAAGGGCATCAGAAGGTCAAACTGGGAGGAGAGCTGGACACCAGGAGCCTGAAGGCTTCGTGCCAGGCCAGGGGACAGGCAGGCAGCAGGTGGGAGCTGCCTCCTTGGCAGTCTTCTTGTGGACAGAAGAGGTGGAGCTTAGCAGCCTGGTGTTCCTGCTTGTCTCCTGCCCCTGCCTCCCTTCTCACTTCCTTCCGTGCACACTTTGTGGTGGGCCATAGTGATCACTATGAGACACTTGAAGCCTGGACTCAAGCCTGGCTTGAGTTCTAGGTTCAAAAGGGAAGATGATGCAGAAGTGACTGGGAACTGGAACTGGAGCAGTAGCTAGGTACAGGGTAGCTTGGAGCACCTGGCCCAGCCCAGGGAGTAGAAGTACTCTTGGATAGTGGTAGTTAGACCGGTTAGGAATGGAGGAGGAAGCAGTGGCAGCCCCTCTGGCTAGAGTGGGAGCAAAGGCTTAAAGGAGAAACTGTTGGGGAGCAGATAAAATGAGAAGTGTGCCATTGCTGGAGCGTAGATGGTGGAGTGTGTCGGGAGAGATGAGAAGCTCAGCTATTAGATGGAGTCTGCGTGGAAGTTCCTGATTGCTGAGCTGAAGACTTTGGCCTGTACCCAGGGAAGAGTTCAAAGCAGGAGAGTTGTGATCATACTTTCAAGTTAGGAAGATGGAGCACCCTCTGGAATAGGAATCTTCATGGAGCCAGGAAGGCCTAGCCTTGATTCCATTCTCTGGGCCATAAACCCTGCTTGGGCTGGAGACAAAGCAGCAGTAGAGAAAGGCCTGCCCAGTGTGGTAAGGGGTATGCAGAATCTCTGGCACAGGGAATAAGTGCTTCCATTTGCCTGTAGCCTACCTTAAGAACCAGAAACCTAAGACCCTTAGGTAAAACTCGCCAAGATGGAGCACACGGCCAGCCCACCTGAGTGGTACAAGGAAGCTGCATTTCTGGAGCTGCAGATGGAAGCAGGCCCCTGCTGACTGCCCCTTGTGTGACTGCCCCTTGTGTGGCTCTTGAACTGGAATGGGCGCTTGGGGTGGCTGGTGAGCATCACCCCTGGAGGGGAGGAGAGGGCAGTAGTTGGGGGAGAAAGATGGAACCCAGGCAGGGGAGATGCAGGCTAATGCTGGGGGTTGATAGGGTAAGTAGTAGTGAGTAGTTGGGGGCATTTGGGGCCTTGAGAAGTCTAGTGACAGGTGCTCAGCCACTCTACCTCTTAAGAAGAAAACAAAATTTTCTTTTTTATTATAATATACCATGATGGTGTACAATTAGAAAATGCTAAGCAGAGGAAAATAAAAACCACGCATATTTACACTACCAGAGACAACCAGTGATTACAGCTTGATAAATAGCATTCTATGTTTTATTCTACATGTGCAACATGAGGGAGCCATGTTCTATGCTATTTATTTTTTATTTTTACTAAAACTCTTTGTAAAAGTGAGGGTAATAACCACTTGGTCTAGGAAGCCCCCATCCCCACCCCAATGCAACACAGTCCATGGTCCATTCAACTCCATGTCCTCCTGATTTGTTTGGTCTGTATGTGTCTGGTTTAACAAGGAGGCTTCTGATGGAGAAAAAGTAAATAAGAACCCCTTGACCCTTGGCTCCTTACCCACCCACCCACAGCTAGATTCCCATAGGAAAGCCCCTCAGAGCTTCTCTCAAGGTCCCCAAGCCATCCACCCTCAGAGGCTATGGCCAGAGTACCTAATACCCACTGTACCCAGTAGGTCTTGACCACGACCCAGACTCAGGGCTGAGGGCCGCCGTCTTGCCACCAAAGGCCCCACGTGGCCATTGGGCCGTACCCACAGGAAGAGGCTGGAGCGGACCGTGGGTAGTGACTCGCAAAAGAGGAGCCAGGCATGGGGCATGGTCACTTGCCTTCCTCTCTGCAGCTCTAGCTGTGCAGTGTGCACAACTGGAGGCTGGCCAAAGGCCTGGGGTCTCACGTGCTGCAGCTGGATGAGCAACAAGATAAGGATCACAGAGGCAAGCAGGAGCCAGAGGAGACCCAACACATAGAAGCCCAGGGGGAGGAGGCAGCAAAAGTCAGGGTCAAGAAAAGGATCATTTCTGGCCCCATCCAAATTCGCTTGAACCACCCTGTGGACATTCAGGAGGTTGACAGGTTCAGAGATAATTGTTGTGGGCTCTAAGGTAATGGAAAGTGAGGTGGTTTCTGTAGGAATTAAGAATTTGGTAGGTTCTGGGGTGGTTGGGGGTGTGGTGGGCTCTGGGGTGGT